ATCACAACAGTGAAAAAATTACATCGAACAGGAGTCGGGAAGGGCCTCATCGGAAGCGTTTTTCGAAATACCCCGCAGTGCCGCCGCTAAGCTCTACCAGCGTTTTTCGGCCAATTGACCGGTCATTTTGCTCCAATTTAGTCATGGGTGTATTTAAAATTAAATTATGATTAAATGGTGAAATTTTTACCTCGTTTGTCAGTCAAAAATTGCTCCGGTGGGGTGGCGGGTGGCGGCGATCAGTTGCCCGGCAGCTGGGCTATCTTCTCCGGCGAGAGGTTTTGGCGGCTAGGGGTAGCATTTTGATACGGATGTGGTTATTTATACTCATCCACTTTTGATCTGGGCTGTCTATCATTTTTTATTTTGACCGTCTGATCGCAATTAAATAGAGAGTGAATCTGAACTATCCATTGCGATTCAATCTGGTCCGTCCATGCGCGATTCAATATGAACCGTCCGTGCGCGCGAGAATGGACCTCAGCCGTTCGATCGCGCGCACGCGGATCGCCACGTGGCTCCCCTCCCGCGTCAGCGTCCCTGCCACCTGGCGCGTCCTGGTTGGTCGGGATTGCTGACCGGCCATCTGACATTGCATAATTTTTTTAAATTATATTTTGACCCCCGATTTTCGATTTTTTTTTCAAAAATATCTGCAGAATCTAAATTTTCACCCATTTTCTCAAAATTATTTTCAATTTAATCCTTAACAAATTTTTACCTCTTTTTTATTAAATTAAAATAAAATAAATTAAATAAATAAATAGCTATATATAAAAAAGAAATAAAAATAAAAGAAACTATTGGGTGCTACACCTAATTACATCAATATTTAGTTTGCTCTAAACATTGATTGAACTATATTTTAACGGATCAAAATCTAGTAATAAAGTTTTATATTATCATTTTTTAATAATTTATGTAATAATTTATTTAAAATAAAACCGCAATATCTGCTCAAAATTAGCTTATGATATGCATCATAAAACGAGTTTAGTCATTACTATATTTATTTTTGTCTAGGGTAACTTGTAACACCCAAAACTTTTCTTTTATCTTATTTTTATTGTATTTTAATTTTTATTGGAATTTTTGTTTGATTTTATTATATTTAATAATTAATTTATAAGGTTTTAATTTAATTTAATAGAAATACAAATAATAATAATAATAAAATAGGGTAAAATTATTTTTGGGATTTAATTGAAATTGATTTTGGGAAAAATGAGTGAAATTTTGGATTCTGGGGGTGTTTTTGAAAAGAAAATAAAAAACTATAGGTTAAAACGTAATTTAAAAAAAATAGTGTCACATCAGCCGCCCGGTCAACAGCCCCAGCCAACCAGGACATGTCGCGTGGCAGAGATACTGACTCGGGGAGCCACGCGGGACGAAGCCACGTGGGCGATCCGCGTGCGCGCGATCGAACGGTCCAGATCTGTTATCGCGCGCACGGACGACCTAGATCGCATCGCGATGGACGGTACAGATTTATTTTCAATTTAATCGCGATTGGACGGCGCATATTAAATCATGATGGACAGCTCATATTAAAAGGGGAAGGTTATAAATAATCGCATCCACACCCAATCCCAAACCCTAGCCGCCAGAACTCTCGCCGGAGAAGACGACCCAGCCACTGAAGGAACCGGCCGCCGCCACCCGCCGCCGCACCGGAGAATTTTTTGGCCGCCAAACGAGGTAAAATTTCTCCCCTTGGCTCATTTTTTGATGTTGAACCTCCCTACGGCCAAATCGGAGCCAAACCACCAACCAATTGGCCAGAAAATACCGCCGAAGACCAGCGGCGCCGCCGCGGGTTTCCTTGGTTTTTGCCTCCGATGAGGCCCTTCCCAATTCCCATTCAATATAATTTTTACACCACTGTGATCACCGTCCTTTTCTCTACAGGTTGACCGGAGCAAAACAACAAATTGCAACTTGTGCCGGAGGAGCCGCCGCACCCGAGAGCTTCACCATCGATAAGTCTCAATTTTTTGGATTTTTTTGGCCCACCGAGGGCTCTAGGGGTGTTTTATCATAGGAACCAATGCAAGTTTGGCCGAATTTGGCCAGAAACTGCCAACCCGAGGCGGATCGCCGCCGTGGGTAGCGGCGCCGTCGCCGGAGCACGACGGAGCCGCCGTGTTGGAATTCCAAAATTGGCCGAAAGGGCTTTGGATTTGATTTGGGATTTTTTGGGGATATGTGCAGGTACCGGAAGTGTGTTTCAGTTTCCGATAAAAAATTCAGGGAATCTAAAAACTGCCCGTAGGCGTAGTGAGAATCTAATTTCATATTCCGAAATAAGTAAGGATCTCTCCCCCTATTTCCTAGCACGGTATTAAAGTTTAATAAATGATAAAAAGATATTTTATGAATCAACAGTTATGTATAATTAATTAAGGTTGTTAATGGAGCCCGAACTTGATGTATTTTTTGTCTGTTCCTGTTGGATGTATTTTACAGTTTAAATGCAGTGTAGTATTTAATTATTTATTTTGTGATTTCGTATGCATGAATCACTGTTTAATTTATTATGATTTGAATTATTGTGAACCCGATGTTGTATTGTCTCATTTGGTGTTCATTACTGGTTTACGTATTTATGTTTGATTAGATAATTGAGACTAAAAAAAATGAAAAAATGTATGCGAACTGATAAATGGATAATATCGACAGCCTAACTAGATATTATGGGAGATGGTGGACGGACCGGGTCCATAAGAAACCCTACCGGGAACGTGGTCTCTCATATCGGACGGGGTATGGAGACTTTATGTGTTTTGGCGCCCATACCGGATGTGGTATGGGGATGGCCCATTTCACCCTTATACCGGACGGGATATTGAGGTTTATGATTTTGGACGGCCCTGGAATTAAGTTATTAATGTGAATGATTCATGTGTAGCGGGGACCCCCTATGGATCTCCATGAATACTAGTAGGCTGATAAAATGGGAAAGTTGTTGCCTGATGATTGAAATACAAAAGTATGATATGCGTTATATTACAGAGTGTGCATGAGTTTATGATGTTTATGATGTTATTGTTTCTCATAAGTTGTTTTCATGAATCTCACCGAGGTAAGCAGACAGTAAAAATTTTTATTATTGATAAATGAGTTTGTTATAAATTATGCTCAATTGATCTTTTTTGTTTTATATCAACCTTTACTTCTGTGACAGTGAAATAGTGTGATGTCTTTACTGGATTAACGTAGCTCATTCATTACTTGACCATTTTAGATAAGGAGGACTTGGTTCTCAAGCCCGTTCTGCAAGAAGACGGCGAGTAGAAGCCAAATAATTTATTAGTTTTTATTATAGCATTCATTCATAGTATTTCCTTTAAGTTAGTTTATTCGTTCATACGTTTAATTCGTTTTGGTTATTGTATAAAGGATGTTAATCATAATCTATTTTATTTCACTTTCATAATTAGAATAAATATATATATATTTCTTTTTAATTTCCAGGGCCGTTACATAACCAATGATTGTTTTTGACAAAATTTGAGCTACGGTTCCTAAATTCTCAAAATAGGTAGTCGTGTTAAGAGTGCGTTAAGGGTTTTTTCACAATGCTTTAATATTGTGGGGACTTTTGGGTTTGCTAATAATATATCATGGCCCCTTTAATCGGGAGAGATTAAAATCTACTATTGATTTATATATAGAATTATTAACGGTGGTATGCTTTTATCACTGACGGATGATTTAGAGAAAAAAATTATAAACATGTAATAAATATTAAAAGAGTAAAATATAATGAACGTATGTCAAAAAGATTCAAAATATATTATATATAATTCTTAAACTAGCATCATAAAATGAAAAAAGTAAATTATATTTATACTCGTGGCTATAATATAGACTTTACATAGAGTTTAGACTTTTCTGTAAGTTCAATTGAGTAATGTCACGTATTAGAACAAATACGTCAGAGCTTTGACAAATAAAAATGCATGACACAGTAGTAAAAATTTATCATGTAGATCATAATAAAGTTTATAAGTTTACATATAATATACTAGGCTTTATATAGCTTAACCAAAAGACGATGGACTTAAATGTGTGTCTCAATTAGTCGCGATAAAGACAAATCGAAAAGTAGAATAACGAAAATAGAGATGCATTAGTCGTAGAGAAAAGTGCACATCAAATAGTTAATAAGAATTGTAGATATAATTAATATATAAGTAGATTAGGTACTTGTGCATGCTCACAATAATATACTCTTGTACTTAATTAAAGTATAAATTTATTTGGATGTATTTTAAAAATTTATTAGGAAATTTTATGTATAACTAATTAAGGAAACATATATATACATGCACATAGATAAACTTATATAGTAAGTTATTATTTAGTCTAAATGTTTGGTATAAGTCAATTTAGGAAACAGTAAATACATGAATATAAATAAACTTATATATATAGTAAGATAATTATTTAGCATAAATATGTTTAATACAATTAATTATTTAATATAAGAAATCTTATTTTATTTATACTAAAATTAAGTAGTTTTTGTCACGAGCATTGAGTGTTAATGACAATTAAATGAGATTAATATGATTAAATTAAATTAAGTATGGTTGGATTAGCGAACATAATATGGTTTAAATAAATTAATATGATTAAATGAATTCAGAACCTCAATTATGTTGGATTTTCAAATTAAAATAATTTCGAAATTTCAATTAAATAATAAATAATTATAAAATCTCTATAAGTAAGGAAATATTTATTTATTTTATTTTTTAATACGTAATATATAACAAAATTGTATTAAAAAATAATTAAATTAATTTCCCGTAAATATAAATGACCGTTGAATGAAAATCGGTATAATTATTAATTAATTAATTATTTTTTAATCAACCTACCAAACAAAGGTCATAATGGTAATTGAATATCGTAAAATAAAAAATAAAAAATAAAAAAGAAAAACCCACGCTCCTCCCCTCCAAAATTTCCATTTTCCAGCTTCTCTTTCGAATTAATGGCGCCAAAACTTCCATATTCTCCCGCGCCTCCATGTCAAAACCCTCCTCCTCCCCCACCTTTATCTCCTCCTACTCTCTCTCTCTCTCTCTCTGATTCTCTGAACTCTTGCTCCTTTCTTTCTCCGCTCCATTTCATCTCATTTCTCTTCATCTCCGACGATGCAGCATCCCAAGCCACACATTCCAGCTTCTATCTCCGCCGGTTCTGCAATCTCATCTGATTCTGATCTGAAGCCGGCCAAGAAGCAGCGCGGCAGCTACAACTGCGGCCGATGTGGTCTCCCCAAGAAGGGCCATTCATGTCATCTTCCTCCTACTACCGCCGCCAACGCCACTCCCTCCCCTTCCGATTCATCCGCTGCTTCTGTACCTTCTTCTCTTTCCGCCATTCGGACAACCACCTTGCCTCCACGCCAGCCATACTCTCACCTCCGCCGCGCGCTCTCCTTCGATGATATCGACATTCGCTGCGACTCGATTGAACCCGAATCCGACAATGAATTGCCCGATCCGGATGTAGATCAGGGGAGCTTCTACGGGGGGTTGCCGCCGGTGTGCTTGTGGGAGGTGCTTAGGAGACTACCGCCGGCGGGGATTCTGGCGGCGGCGAGGGTATGTAAGGGGTGGAGGGATACAACTAGAAAGCTGTGGAGGGCAGCTGAGGAGCTCCGGCTTAGGGTGCCGGTTAGAGCTCAGATTGGGTTCGTTGGATCGCTGTTGCAGAAGTGCCCTGGGCTTGTCAGGCTTTCTCTTAGGATGGAAAGGTTAGGGTTCTGGTTTTGATCGGAAATTTTCCGTTTGTCGGTCTATCAGATCTAGGATCTAATTGCTTGGATCGACGCATTTTGGAGATTAGAGTTTAGGGTTATCAATCAACAAAATGTGCATCCTCTGAAAACATCGACTGAATGTTGAACACGATTCCGATATGAAAAGTGAAATATGATTTAATCCATCAAGATAGAATAAGAGATTCACGTAGGATGGTTTGATCTGCAAACATTAATCCAGTATATAATCTGGCTCAGTTTAACTACGATTGGAAGAAACATCTATCATCTTATTTTTCCTGCAATCTGGATAATATGCGCTGTGATTAGGACTCAACTTATTGTAAAAGGATTTCAGGTTGAGATTTTGGAAATTTTCACCTATTTAATCAAAATGCCTGCCTTTTGTTTGGTTGAAGGTTTAAGCATCATATCGGTAAACGGGTACTAGATTACTTTTATCTGTTGAGCAACAGTGGAATATTCATCTTATATCTTGAAATTTCACTCTGGTTGTTTTGCAGTGATTTGGATGCAACGATGTTAGCTTGTATTGCGTTCTCATGTCCTAACCTGGAGTGTATGGAGATAACTGCTTCTGATACCGCAATTAATAGGATTACTGGGTATGATTCCTTATTTCTCTTTTCAATTTTGTTTTGTTTATCATAAAAAAACTTGTTCTTTCTAAATCTGAAGTAATGTAACTTTTCTGATTGTTGGGTTTCTGTTGTTCCTACATTATTTTTTGATATCCTGCTACTAGATTCTCTTGCATGCCCATTGACTTAGTTTCTGCAGGGAATTATAATGACTTTTGACTAATCGTTGGCTTGTTAAGAATTATAATGATGGTTTGCTATCATTGTACTTTTCTGGCATTCTTTTTGTAGGATTATTAATTTGGTATTTTTTGTAATTTGCATGTAGGGATGAATTGGGTCGTTTTGTTGCTGACAAACGCTGTCTTACAAGCCTTAAGATGGAAGGGTGCTCCAATTTAGGAGCTCTTGTCCTCTGTTCATCAAGCCTTTCTATCCTTTGGCTTTCAGATCTGTCCTCACTCTCTAAGATGGTAGTTATGTTTATATCCTTTACTCCATCTCCCCTTTTACTTTCCTGGTTTTGCCCGTACTAAGTGACTGTTTTTATTTGTGTGCTGGTTTTTCCAGGTTTTGAACTGTCCCAATCTGAAAGAGGTATCCCTAGATTTTTCTTGCCAAGAGAATGATACTACCGATCTTACCACAATGGTTGAAGGCTTGGGGAGGAATTGCCCGAGATTGAAAAACATTCACATTGCATCAGTCAGGCTTTCTCATGCTTCTGTGCTAGCACTTACAGATGCGAACTTGAGGTTTGGTCTCCATCCTCGTCTTGCTAGTTTTACTGTCTAAGAGTTGTTCGAATTCATTAATTTGCTTACATCATATGAAGGGGAGGATGATTGCAGTAGCTTTGTTCAGTCGTCTTGAAAACTTCATGTGTAGAATTTTAGGAAGACTTGCATTTAAGCAATGGATTATTTTGTTAGAAATGTCTGATCCCAACTGTCTGGTTAACCAGGGGGTTGCGAATGCTTTCTCTAGTTCTTGGATCCGAAATCACTGATGCATCTGTTGCTGCCATTTCCTCAAGTTATTCAAACTTGGAGTTGCTTGATCTAAGTGGGTAAGTTTTTGCCCATTTTCATCTATAGTTAACTATTCAGTAAGATGGTTGTTCTGTTTTGAATGTCTCTAAGAGCACGTTTGACAAGACACTTTCATTTAGGTCTAGCATCAGTGACAGTGGCATTGGAATGATCTGCAATGTTTTTCCTGCTACATTATCAAGACTTCTCCTTGCTCTTTGTCCTAACATCACCTCAAGTATACTCCAAGTCCTTTAACTTACATGCATGCTGATCTTTAATTCTTTCTAGATTATATTTGTGGTTTTGTGGTTTATGCTTGTTAACGCCCCTATTTTCATCACTCAGGCGGCATTCAATTTGCTGCTGCTCAACTACCTCTTCTTGAGCTCATGGACTGTGGCATGACCATATCGGATCCCAATTTACAAAGTGTAGTACCAGATGAAAGTAGTGAGTCTGAGTTACAAAAAGCATTTAACAGCAAATTGCATCTTATATATCAGAAGCTGATCATCAAACATAGCCGGTTAAAAAAGCTCAGTTTGTGGGGTTGTTGTGGTTTAGATGTGAGATTCTTTAATATATAACTTAACCTGGGTTCTGTATTTTTGCGATGTCTTTTTCTTATTTGTAAGCTTGGATGCAGGCTCTATATTTGAACTGCCCAGAACTCAATGACCTGAATCTTAACTCATGTACAAATTTGCATCCTGGTACGACTATTGAATTTTGTTTCAAGTTGCAATAATGAGCATGCCAATCTGGTGCTAAGTTACCAAGTTTTTTTTTAACTTTTTTTTACTGTGTATATAGAGAGACTGCTACTCCAGTGTCCAAACTTGGAAAGTGTGCATGCATCCGGATGTCCTGAGTTGTTGGTTGGAGCCATCAAGAGCCAGGTAAACTTTCATCTCTTAGATTTTTATTAACATGTATTTAGGAGCTAAAAACATGAAATACTGCTGTCTAGAGTCTTTATTATTTTGAAAATGAAATATGAGGAAACAAAAGTTGAGAAAATAAGAGTATTTGTGGTGTATTTGTTATAACGAAGAACAGTTAGTTTCTTGTTAGCTTAATTTTGAAACATTAGTTGTAAGTACTAATGTTTAACTGATAGACTATTATTTTTGAGCACTTTTTATCTTTTGAAAAGTCAGTTCTTGAAGGATGGATAAGTTTTTGCAGAAGTAATGTGCAAGTTCAAAACTTATAGCATTTTTCTTTCGATGATCATGAAAAGCATTTCTGCATCTAATTCGGGAAAGCATCTCCAACATAATTTTGCATTGAGATTCTATTGGCATTTCCTCTTCATGAGCATCTCTATCATAATCTAGCATTGACATTCTATTTAATTGCATTTCTTCCTTTTATTTCTTTAAGAGAAGCTTTTGATCTTCGTTAGAGCAATATAAAAGCTGCTTGGGACTTGGTCTAGAAGCTCATAGATTCATGGTTTCATAGATTCTGTAATTTGTAAATGAATGATTCTCTTGTTTTAAAATACGCCATATGGTATGTGATCCACACTCATGTTGCATATATAAAATGTTTTGTAAGCCTGAAAATCTTGCTCAAGTGTTATTTCTTAATTGGTATCAATAATGTTCTGCCTTATGGAGTGTAGTGCAAGCAGCAAAATAAAATATTGTTTAACTTATTTTCTCATTCAGTCTGTAGTGTTCAAAGTTTTTCCGGAAATGTTCCTGACCTTCCATCTTTACTGAATTTTGCTGGCATGGGCAGGTCAATGACAAAGAGACTGGTGCGGACAATCATTATCCATTTAAACGTTTATCTGATGGCTCAAAGAGAGTTCGGGTGCCACATTTTCTACATCATCAGGTAAGGTTAAAAGATCATAATTGCAAAAGATTTTGACTTTGTTTCGGAGTCAGAGCTAGAAGGCTGGCTAATTGAGAAAATGATATGGAATGGAATGAAAATGTTTTATGCTCGAGTAAAATAGTTATGGAAATGAATGCATTGTTTGTATAAGAGGTGAAATGGTTTACCATGCTTTCCAGGAAACTAAAAACTGTTTTACCTGCAACTTTTTTCAACTCTTAATAGGATAAAGATCTGAACAGAAAAATCTTAGGCATTTGTGGGGTTTTTGCAGGCAGCAGATGATGATAAGGCTAGAGTTGGAAGAAAGGTAGTGGAGTGCAATGTGGTAGTTGGGTAATTTTAACAAATTTTATGCAGACAGCATTCTTAGAGCTCATAAAATGCAAATAAAATTTCATGTAATCATCATCGTTATAATAATTGAAACCCCCTTCCGATGTACAATTTTTTTGAAGTACCAATTCAATTGTTTCCAGTTCCAAAATTGGAATTTTAAAGGGCCTATGACAATTTGTTAAGTTTTTCAGTTTCTCATCTTAAAAAACATAAATTTATATGGAATTTGTGCTTCTTTACCTTGATTTTTATTTTCTTAGTTGAAATAATTATATATGAAGATGATTTTGGGGTTGGTTTTCTTTCTGCATCCCCCAGTTATGAGTTATCCTTCACTAGTAGTTGCCTTGCCTCATTTGGGGTGGGGTTACATATCAAACTAATGATCTCTAGAAAGAGAGAGATAAACAGAATCTAGTGATGAGTAATGGTTTGGAATCAGATTGAAATGGATCAAAACTGAAGATTGTACTGATATACTCCAATCTCGATTGGATCGAATTGAAATTTTTTTGTTTAGTTTGTTTTTGGCTGAAATTGATCGAAATGTAATTAGAAATTTTAATTTTCTTAAATATATTGCTTATATATTTAATATGTTATTTACTCAATGTATATAATATACATGTATATTATTATATGTTATTTTCATTTTTCATATTAAAAAAATATCAATCTGTTTAGATTAGATCGGAATTGGACTAGAATTATTACTTGGAGTATGCATAAATTTTTGAGTCTTCATTCTAAATGAGGGTGTGAATACCTATTGATAGAATAAGTTTTATCTTATATGTGAATACTTGTGCTTCATAATCTCAATTAGGAGCAGAAATCCTTATTCATCCTCGCCAAAGACACCTTCATTGTTCGATTTTAACAAATGATAGCAATTCTTCTTATTGCCTTATTAGAACTCTAGAAGTCCTGAAAGTTCATCCTACTTGATTTTTCTGCGTATATTATAGACAAGTTTAGTTGATATATTGATTGATTATCTCCTTTTATCATAATTAAAATTAAAAATCATTGACTCTCTCTGATTATAATATTTTAAAGAAGTCGAAAGATAATCTTTATGTAGGTTGAAATTGTTTTGACCATTGTTTTTAGCATGATTTCTCTACGAGTTCTAGATAATTTGCTCAATTTTTAATCTTGTACTCTCTTTACCCATCTATTTATTAAAAATTTGCCCAATTTAAATGGTTCTTTAGCAATCTCCCAATCATCGTAAGAAATCCTAGGTACTTTTCAAGTACTTTCCACGTGCTTTTATAAGTTGATTGCTTGACCCGATATTTAAGCATAATCTTCAAATATCACGAATAAGAAAGATGAGGCTGTCATTTGTATGGAATAGTTGTGAAATGGATATAGGTATGCCATAGATTTTCATATCATAGATCATATTCTTATTTAGCATTTTTGATTATTATATATAAACTCTCAACACAAAATAAATAAGTAAAGAGAAGATGTTTCTTTACCAGATACTTGAAGATTGTCTATTTATCGAGATAAGATATGAAACGAAAATTACACATTCTATAATTAATATAACATAAGAATGGTAAAAACTCAATTTCAAAATCATTCTTCCTAGATACAACAATGCTACTTTGATTATAGCTCTTATTAATATGTAACTTTAAAGCAAAATATCCTCGAGTTGAGCTACAGTTGTGTTTAAGTGTTAATAATAAATCTTTAAGTATAAAAGTTGTTTGAAGTTTATAAATAATTTTTAAAAGTAAAATTTAGTAATCTATTATTTATACGTTTAATTAATTTTATCGTCATATTATATAAGTTAATGGGTTAAAATAAAGAGCGGTAAAACTTTTTATTTTTAAAATTAAAGTGATATATATTATGGTTTATAATTTTTAAAAATATTATTATTTAAATAAAGTAACACAAAAGATACTTATATATTAAAAAAGAAATACAGAATATATTATATATAAAGTTTTTTTCGAGTGTATATTTAAAATTATATAAGCTATTGTTTGATTGAAAATTTTATTGAAATTAAAACTAGTGTAATTAAAATATCACTAATTGTCTATTTTAAAATTTATATTATTAATTAAAGTAATGTAATAATTATGTGGTGTGACTATCTTGATTATACTAAATTATAAAATAAATCATTTGCAATTTTGTTACTTATCTAATCAATTATATATTTACTTTAATTAAATATTTTCAATAATAAAAACACACTATTAGATATAAGATATTTGGTACTAAAATTGTAAAATATAATATTTACGGTTTAACTCATTCTCAAATTAATTATATTTTTAGTTTAATTTAGAATTTTACAGTATATAAAAACACCTGATTAAATATAAGTCAGTAAATAAATAAATAAATAATAATATTATTATTATTGTCTTGTGAAATCACAGAGTTGGCGTCATCAGTCATTTTTTCGCTGTTGATTCTTGTTAAGCTCCGCGAGCGGTATCCAACTTCTCCCTTCTATCAATTCAACAATGGAGGTCTCGTCGTTTTCCGCAAGTCCGAAAGCGTATTCTTGTTCATCAACAGGTTTCTCTTTCTCATGCAAAGAATTTATATAAATTCGGTATCTAGTGATAAATTCTAGCCAATTCTATTGTAAATTGAAACGATCCTAATCAGTGCGATATGCTCATTTTTGCTTCTGAATGACGATCTTCACAAAAAGAAAATTAAACAAATTGGACATCATCGTGAAATCCCTTTTCACAACTTCAAAATTTATTCTGTTGGCGTACACTACTGCATATTCTCATTTTGGGGTGATTGGACGCTTTAATATATAATTGTTGTCGGTTTAGGTTTCTGTATCTTAAGTAGCTGAAGTGTAATCTGCAGAATCTCTGCTTAAAAGGATTAAGGTTCCATTATGGAACCGGTATCTTCTGTCTCTTCCATTGAATAGAAGAACTGTACAACCTTTAGTGCCTCGTACTGGATTTCCACAGCTGAAGAAAAATCATTTGCAGGTTGACGCCCTTTGCTCTTTCAGTACATTTTCCTTTTTCATCTTTGAATCTAAAATAGAATTTGAAAATAGATATTGTCTGTTGTTTATTATTCTGTTAATTTCTCAGGTTTTATGTAGTCAAAATAAAGGAGTTACTGTTATAGAAGACAGGTATTTATTGCTTTTTTGCTTTCAAAGATATTCTCAAGTCTCTTGTGTGACTGTGACTCTTTAACATGCTTGAATTTCACAGTCTGATGGTCTTTAGGCACATATTTTTTTCCCCAAATTTATGTTCATGGAGTTATTGCCGGGTTTCTTCATCTTTTCGGGATGAAGAATATTTCAAGCTATCTGAAGAAAGTTATTGACATTGTTGCTAAAGCCTCTCTTCTATATTCGGTTTTAAGGTGTTGAGTGGTTGTTGTTGTGGTCTATAATAAAAATAAAACAGCAGCTGAGATTATTTTCTTAAGGATGTTCACACATTGTGGTGACTTGATAACTTGCTGCACAGATATGGGAACAGTTTATGATTGTTTATTTTTCTTATGTCCTTACCTTGTCCTAGGATGTGTATCTTTATAATCAATACTGGAACAAGTAGAAGAGTAGGCAGAACTTCAGTAAAGGCTTTTGAGTGCTTTCTTGTTCAAGGAGATCATTTGGTTTTCTCTTAACAGGTCCAAAAGTTTCAAGGAAAGGTTAAAACGTAAGAAGATTGCAGAAAGATCATGCAAATTCTTCTATGATTTTTCAGTGTCAAAATCCGGAACTAGATCTGGGGATAAAGAACATAACAATTTGATATCAGAGCAGGGGGTTATGGAAGATTTTCTTTCCTTCCTACCGCAGTTACTTCGAGAACCTATATCAGGGAAATAGAGCCAAAACTGTGTGGAGAGGGTACTAGACTGGGCTGCATTAATTGCACAACAGCAAGAATTAGCAGGGCAGTTGGAGGGGTTGTCACATTATCTATCTACTATTTGACCAGGGTGCAGGGGATAGTTGGGTGAATTATTTTTTTAGTGACAATGAGCAGCTTAAACTTGGTGGAAGAGCCAATTGGGCTCCTCTGAAGCCAACAGAAGGGCAGTGTCGGCCACCTCCCAGCAGCGGCCTTGAGTTGAGCTGACGGTTGTCGTGTTGTTTCTCTCTCTTGTTGTTGATGGCGGCTTATTGAGGGTTTTAGGTTTCTTTTTTCTTTTTGGAAGTAGGTTGTGTTTTGTGAGGTTGGAATAAGAAAATCATGGTAACGTGATAGATCGATTTTAGGTTCTGATACAAATCGATAAAGGACAAAGAAAGCTTGAACACAATACTCAAAGAACATATATTAAGAACCAAAACTAGATATATCAAATCTTGATATGAAATCAACAACTCAGTGGTTGAATAATAATCATATGAATAATCTACCAGATAACTAAGATAGAATGCCCTATTTATATGTAATAGATTGCAATCAGAATAGGAATTCTTAAATCTATTTAGAAGTTCTACTAAATAGGCAAATAAGTTAAATTAATTGGAATAACCTACAATAGAAAATAACTAAATAAGATCCTCACTAAATAAAAAATAATAAATTTATATTATTAATAAACCTATTGATATTTTCTGTTAAGTTCTATGACAGTCATCTTAGGGGAGAAGGGTCTGAAATAAACAAAACATTCCTGGTAAAACTGATTTGGAAGTCAAGAGCACCTCCTAGAATTGCTTTTTTTTTTTTTTTTTTTTACTTGGGAGGCTAGCAGGGAATGTATATTGACCACTGACAAGCTGATGATCAGAGGCCATTCTCTCGCCAACCGATGTTACCTATGTTTGAATGCAGGGGAGTCGTGTAACCATTTTCTCTTATGCTATCCAGTGACTTATGATCTGTGGTGCATGGTTTATGGGCTTCTAGGGATTAATTGGGCAATGGCAGGTAGAATTAGGGAGGAAATTTGGGCTTGGGGTGGATTATGTAAAGGAAAAAAAATGTATTAATTTGACATTTAACCATTTTTTTGGTTATTTGGAAAAAAAAGAACTACAGAGCTTTTGATGGGAAAGAGAATTTGATGTATAGATTGAGGGATAGGTGATTTCATATTTTTGGGTCTATATTATTGGAGCATGACATTATTAGGGATGAAAATTTTGAAAATGTCATTGATACCCTAACTCGATAGTAAATCTTTTGTACATGGATGATACCCCTTTGGTACTCTGTTAATATATATATTTCATATTTTTTATTTTTTAAAAAAATAAACCTATATATACTAGTTCCTAAATAAGCTAAATGTCTTAATAATACATAACCATTATAGCATATCTTACTATTGAAATATATTTTTAGTTAGAATCTTCTTGTTATGCATCACCTAGTTCTTTGGCTTGGTCATTTATGTTATAATAATCCAATCTGAATGCAATTAATTAATATAGACTAAAATCAAACTAAAATATTTTAAGGCTTGAAATTGGATATAGGTCAGACAACCCGTTCTAAAAAATTCAAGTTTGGACCTGTCTGCTACATTCGTGGTTTCTTGGTGAATTTTATGAAGTCAACTAGCTTTACATAGCTGACATTGTGACAGTGTTAAACTCCTCTCTTCTTTTTTAAGAAATATATATGTTGTCCAATTGTGACAGTGTTACATTCCTAATCTATTTTAACAGAGAACAATTGGCACAAATTTAATTTTATTAGGGACTCAGATACTTGCAACAAACTTTGTACTCTGTTTAACAGTTTTTTAACTGTTCTTTTTGGTAAACTGGTTATTCTATTTGTTTCCCTTATTTATCATAATTGTTTATTCTTTTATCTTGAAGATGTATGGATGAGATTTATGATGCTTTGGCAGAACGACTTGTTCCTACATCAGCAGCAGCATCGAACCCGAACCTGAAGTAAGTTTAAATCTCCTGGTGAATGAAGAAATCAGACTTCTGTGCCTTACTAATCAGTTGTTGCTGTTTCATCCATACCTTGTTCTCAGCTGTTCTGGATATCTTGTCTATGGACATACCTTCATTTTAACTTTCAACTTTCAAGTGAAAACAAAATGTCAGAAGCCTTGGTAATTTAGCTCTGATGTGATATCAGTGAAGAAATTAAGCAAGTAAAAGAAGAATAGAATGAGAAATTTAGAAGAGAGATAGAAATAGAAGAAAGGGAGAGACAGAAAGAGAAATTTAGGAGGGAGTAGAGAAGAAGAGAGAGATTGAGAATATTTAAATCTGAAGTTCCTAGAATAGTTTGAATTGCTGTTTCATTGAGCTATTTATATTGCTGATTCTAAAGTCTAATAGAGTTGGTTACAACAAAGCAACTTAACTAGTGACTGATATTCCCTGCTACAAACAATTTCTCTCAATGGACCCCAAGCTACCCTCAATCTTATCTTGCCTTCGATAAACATTCAAAGATGACCTTTGATATACTTTGAGGTCCTTACTGACAATACCCTCTTGCTCGAACAGTAACCTTGTCCCTAAGGTTGAGATGAGGAAACTGCGGTACAGGAACTCAGAATCTTCCCAAGTGTATGACCCAGATGATGGACTAGTACTTGGTCTACCTTTTTCCTGTTGTGAAGGATTTTTTGTTGTTGCAGAATTCTTTGTGGATGCACGGCTATTAGCCCATCTGGGTCATACTCAGGTAGATCATCAAAGTGAATATGTTTACTAGGCACATATTTCTTTAATTAGGAGATGTGGACAACAGGATGGATGTTAGAAGATTTGTTTCTTGACCTTTGATATACTTTGATGGCCTTACTGACAATACCCTCTTGCTCGAACAGTAACCTTGTCCCTAAGGTTGAGATGAGGAAAATGTGGTACAGGAACTCAGAATATTCCCAAGTGTTGTCTTCATCAAAAGTTCCAGATGATGGACTAGTACTTGGTCTACCTCTTTCCTGTTGTGAAGGATTCTTTGTTGTTGCAGAATTCTTTGTGGATGCACGACTATTAGCCCATCTGGGTCACACTCAGGTAGATCATCAAAGTGAATTTGTTTACTAGGCACATATTTCTTTGATTAGGAGATGTGGACAACGAGATGGATGTGAGAAGTAGTAGGTAACTTCAATTTGTTGGCCACTTGTCTGATCCTCTGTGCAATCTCAAATGGCCCATAAAACATTAGGACAGCTTTGAAGTTGGGCCCGCGAGCCAAGCTTTGTCAAAAAGGTTGGAGCTTGAGGAGAACCAAGTCATGCTCATTAAATTGCCTGTCACTTTGGTGCATGTCAGCATACTATTTAGGTGCAATGCTGCACTGTAATCAGATGCTGACCAATCTCTTCAGGTCATGATCATTGAACTGCCTGTCACTTTGGGGCATCTTACCACACTATTTAGTGCAGAGTGAGCCATAAGCAGATCCTGACGGATCTCTTTTCTCATCTAGCAACACTCAGCCAAGTAATCTTCCACTGCCTGTGATAGTGTTTGTGTATTTGTTTTGTCTAGGAAGTGTAGCTGGCATAACCTTATAGGGCTTGAAAAAGGGACATTTTCAAGCTGGAGTGGTGTGAGGAATTGTACCACATTTCTGCGAGAGTTAGCCATATAGTCCCGATTTAGTCCATGTCTTTGGTTGCTGGTATGGGATGGATCTAAGGTCCATTTCCAAGCATTGATTAGGTGCTCGGCCTAGCTATCTGTTTGGAGGTGATAGGCTGAGCTGAAATGAATCAATATGTCCAATAACTTCATCAACTCCTTTCAAAAGAGACTAGTGAAGACTTTGTCTCTATCAGAAACCAGGACTCGTAGAATTCCATGCAAATGAGGAATAATCTCAATGTACAGTCTGGCTATCCCTTGAGGAGTGAAATGGTGTCATAAGGCTGTGGAGTGGTCATATGGGTGAAACGGTCAACTATCACAAGAATAGTATCATTGGCTTCTGATTTTGGTAGTTGCTTGATGAAGTCGAGGGAGACATGGGTCCTAGCTTGAATAGCCGGTGAGGGAATTCTATCTGTCTTACAATGTTGGCAAATTTCACAACTTTGGATCCACCGCATGACTTGTCATTTGGCTTTATGCCAAAATAATGTTGTTTGAGGCGTTTATAAGTTGTTCTGATTCTGGAATGAATAACCCCCATTCCCTACAACAGAATTATGGTATTGATACAAGATTCGATCTTTTAAATCAGTGCTGGAGCTAATCACGGTTCTGAAACGTAAAACTTCATTCTTCAAACTAAAAAGGGGTCGACTGTTAGGTGCAATGAGCAACTCTTCAAGTAGGGCTGATAGGATAGAATAACCTTTATGGGTGTTTGCTAGCAGGTGTGGTTGTTGTTACCACTGTCATTATTTCTGCTTCTGTATCGTCCTCTAGGCGCCTCTTAAAGGGCATCAACAAC